TTAGAAGCAGAAATCTTTTTTCTGATTTGTTCAATACTGGATCTGCCACTGAGCTAGCTGTGTAGATGTGCACATAGCAACTGCCCTTAAAGGCAGGGACAAAAGAAGTATCTTCACTCACACTTCATGCCACTTTTTTTTCATAAAGTCTAGCAGAACTACCACACAAACCCTTTACATGGCACAAACAGAAACACATGGCAGATACAAGAACTGCACATGCTATCTTGAAACCTTATCCTTTAAAAAAAGCAAAGCTTTCTTATAAACAAATACTAGTCTGCTCATTAAAAACAAAAATAAAAATACAGCATTAGCAGAAAAGGCATGGCTATCTCCAAATCACAGATAATAGATGCAATTGTTAATTAGTAGACTAATACCATAGTAACTCATACGTTAAAAAAAAAAAAAAAAAGAGATTACAGAAAAAACACATCAGTAGTCTCAGAATTACCAGAGTGCTTGAAAGAGACCAAATGAATCTTCCTACGGTCTATGGACTCTCTTCTCTAAGCGCCCAACTTTCTAGAACGCTGTTTCTATTAGTGTGCCTCCTTACTGAACATATGTCCCTCACAATGGGAATTCATTTTGCATATTGAAATCATACACATACCTGCTGCAACTCAGAGATGTCAAACACACCAATATTTTGAATTCCTTCAAGGAACGCTGGAAGCTTTTCCATGACATGGTGGACTTTATTGAGAAGAGAGCTGATACTAGAAACCACATCCAGCAGTGTATTTAGAACATTGCCTATCTCAGGTGGTATCTGCATCTTGGAAAAGTAGGGAAAAAAACACAATAAATTCCAGTTTGAAACAAATTCGAACCTTTCAATGTAACACTCAAAATGATTCAGCTCTTTCTAAAACTAATTATACAGTGTTCCTAAAAACCATATTTAACAAAATGTCTCTTAGTATAACTCCCCAGTCACTATCAAATTAAGCTGAAGCAAAGTTTTCTGGTAATGTTAGAACTGGTCTATGACAAATCAAGAATTAAAATACAGAGAACGCATTTACATCTGCCAAGCTGACAAGAGCTCTCCAGCCCAAGATGCTAATAGAATCTGCAACATCCTCTCCCCTTAGAATTCAGTGTAAATGAGAACTTTTCCTTCACCAGGTTAAAGATGTTCAATGCAACAATTTAATATTTTAAAAATAATTTGTAAGTTCAATTAAATCCAGCAAGCACTTTTGTTGTCTAATATGACTCCAAGGGCAACTAACTTTGCTGTCACACTGTTCCTGCCTTTGCGTTTTTCATATCTAAAATAATTGTGTGCATTTCATTCCCTACTTGACCTAAGTTCAGTTGGCTCTTTGCTATTTCCACCAGGCAAATTTTGGCATTATGAGTTTTCTTCCTATTCCCTTTGCTTTGGTGGATTATTTATATTATAATAAAAACTGATTCATTGCCTATGCATGATAATAAAACCAGTATAATCTCATTATATACTTTCAGTTGCTTCCCCTGATTACGTTTACTTTATCCACCTTTATTTGACTATAATGCCAGTGCTTAAATTTCTTCTCAGCCTTCACCTACTTTTACACAGTAAAAAAACACCAAAACAAGAAAACCCCAAACAAAGCAACAAAAAAACAGGAAGTAGAAATCTTTTCTTTTCGCTCTGGTATCTTTACCCATTCTGGGAAATTGTCAAATTTTTAGAAGTCTGTGGGTTAACCTGTTTAACTGAGCATGCAGCATCCAGAATATAACCTGGCACTTATGGCTTTAGAACAAAATGTTCTTCCTCCCAATGTTATAACTATATTTCATTTATTCATACTTACAACACCTTATGTTCTGTCAATAAATTACCCCAAAAGAACTGAAATAAATATCTTCTATCAGAAACCCCAACAAATAATTTTGCTCTTACAAGTAAAAACACATCACTGAAAACCCACACTAGATCCCAGATTATCTACAGTTGTAGATAATATACAGTCATGCTACAGATATTTGCATCCCCTCATTATGGTTTTGAACTGTATTATTCCTGTCAAAGTCATTTATCTTGGGTCATATGAAATACAGGAGGTTGGCCCTTATAGAGAGACACATACTGGGAGCTGGAAAAGCTCCTTCTTGAAGGAGCCAGCTGAATTGCCAACATGATTTCTACAGCAAATAAAGTGCATTCCACAATGCTATGAATTCTTCCTAGAAAATAATTTTGTTATTCTTGCAATATGATCTCCTATGCTTGTTTTAGTTCCAATGATGCCAGCTCAATCTTCCACACTTACAAATAAAGAACTAATTGCATGAACTGCAAACTCTGCTAAAGATTAATAAAACTATGTCTCTGACCTACAGTGTTTTCTGTAAAGCTTTCATAATTAACTCCTCAGTGATAATTTTCCTGAGGAAGCAAGAAATGGAATGCAGTAGCATCAACACCATTCTTCAACTGTTGTGTTTGTTTTAGCAAGTTAAATGAAGACAAACAATGACATATGTCCAGTGTTTACAGAGAAAGAACATCTGAAGAAATAATAGAATTAATTTATCTGAGTGCTTTAGACCACCTTCAAAAGAAAAACACAGGATCCAAATGCTTTTTTGTTCCCATCTTACCTTGTAAATGATGTGACGTAAGTTGAAATTCTGTATAATCAGTACAAACATGGTATACAAGTCCAGTGCTGGTAAGGAACATAATTCTTCCACTACCAGGGAAGTTTTACTGCTTTCAGGCAGTTTTAGGAGCAGGCTAAGTACTTCTTCATCACATCTTCCAGTTAAAGCTACCACAAAGGCACTGTAAAAAACCTATCACAATGTATGTGTATTAAAAAATTTTCTCCCTGAAATGCATCACCATTTTTTATAGTCAATAAGGTGAAAATTTGTGTCACAGTAACATGACAATTTGCAGTCACCAACAGACTTGAAATAATAAACTATACAGCTCTATATCAGATTGGTAATACTCTGTGTACATATAAAAATATGAAGTGTATTTCTTATAGAGATTTACTTTCATTTGTTCATAGATCAGTCTTTCATTCCATGAGCATCCATACCATAAGCAGACATATTTACAATGCTGAACATACTCCTTCTAGCAGATATACACCTTTGTAGCAGAAACACCTAAAGATCAAAATCTAGGTGTATGAATCACTAAAATCAAACAGTATGGTCATTTCTTCTTTCAAAGGACACACAAATTTAACACTTGGGGATGTCTGTATGGCACAATGTTTACTTTGAGCCAGCTCACATTTCTCAGTTAAACACCTCTTTGAAGTATTATTTAATAGCAGATGAAGGGGCAAATTCTTAAGTAGACCTTGGGTGAGACTACAATAAAACCACCTGGGATGATAATGGTTTGATTCTTCCTACAAAAAATGTCACATCAAAGGACAAGTGCTTGTAGTACAGATATCTCAGGAGTTCTTAGCTACCCATTCTCAGCAGATCCAGAAAAATTACAAGTTTTTGTAGGAGCCTATAGGAGCCAAAGTACAGGATTCCACTGTACTCCTTATGATAGATCCTACCTCTACTGTCTCCACTGAATGCATGTCTTGCTAGCAACATTACCCAATAAGGGAGAAGATCCCCAAGCAAATACAATTAGGAGCCAAAGGCTGCCAGAATATGAAATTTAACTCTTTAATTCCTATTAATATTTTATTTTCCAACTTATTGACTTCTCAGTTTTTATTCTGGAACAGAATTTTGCCTTTCTGATATGTGTGCCTACAAGTATCAGAATACGAATATAATTCTGATAGCGTAAATGGATACTGATTTTGACTTCCTGCTGTGGAGGAGATTTGGCCATGATACAATTTAAAATTTATTTTCTCATGCCCCACAAGCAGTTTTAACCCATTCCATGTTTTATCCACTAGATTAAGTTCCTCTGAACAGCTTTGTGAGTACCAGAGTTAACCCAGACTCCTACGTTCAATAAAGGAATACTTATAGTCTTCGGGTTACAGGTTTCAAGATATTTCAAAACACTTAATCACATACTGATGAGCATGGCCAAAGCATAATATCGTGGCAGAAATTATGGGCAAGAGCAATAAGCATAAACATTTCTCAGGCTTACTCTTGCTGTTGCAGAAGCAAGCACAGTAGTAGTATACAGTGAGAGAAATACAGGACAGCAATGGGCCGGCAGCTATCATTAGGGTTATCAGACAGTGGTAGACCATAAACATAATGGGCATGCTTAAATTATAGCTTTAAAAAGTACTTGTGCAGTTTACATAACAGTAAGAGACAGAGGCTTTTTAATGCTCCAGTTGGACTGGGGGAGGAATTAAGCACTTAAGCAAACAAAAAATTCTGTATACATATGCAAATGTGAGATGTGTATATATATCTAAGCTCAACATATGACTCTGGCTAAAAGTAAGGATGGAAAGTAATTTGACAACTCAGTCAATTAGCATTATTATTCCAAAGGATCAAAGGTGCACCAAATCCCATTTAACTGAATCAATTCCAGATTACTTCTCACATTACCATTTACTGAAATCACAATAACAACCTAACAATAAAGGCAGTCGCATTGCCAAAGACGCAGAAGAACAAATCATCTATAAGTAGTTATGATGGTCTGAACTGCCTTTTTAACAGCTGCACTTACCACGAACACTTGTGACTGTTTCTGCAAGTGGAGCAGCACTGACACCCAGTGGCTCCTCGATTGACCTGATCAGTTTACATCAAACGTACTCGCAGCTCTTACCACTCATACAAACGCTAACTGGAGAGAGAACCTGTTAGTTAGGTGGCATTTTTCATTCTTTCTACTGATCACTGGCATCACAGCAATAATAACACACATTGTTTCACTCACAAAATTCACAATACACAAGAGAAAACAGATAAAGTGAAACTAAAGCAAGGTACTGGTAAGATAATGTAAGAACAGTGAGGAACATAAAAAGGAATTAAAAAAATACATAAGACTACTCTACTGCAAGGAGCAGAGGTTGTAAGATACAAAATGGTATGTTCAGAAATCCTCATCTTTTCTACAGTAGCAAGCACCAGCAACACTCAAATTCTGTGTCATCACAAGTGGGTAAGACACTGCTGAAAGTAATAAAGCAGTGCCATTTTTTTTCTTCTTTTTTTTCAAACTGGGTTGGAAAAGGCCTCAAATATCATCAAGTCCAACCCTACTGAATTTAGACCAGAAGATTAGGGCTACTATAAATTGATCTCTTAATGCATAACATAATTATTTTGAAGTCCTAAAACTCACAAAAGTATTCCACATATATGCAATAAAATCCCACACAAAGAACATGGCTCATTTTGTTTCAGCTGGCACATCAGGCTATAGGTTGACCCATTAATTTGGCACCTCTTCTTGATCTTTTACCTTCGAATGAGAGACACTAGATTCCAAGATGGTATTCACAGTTTCTTCAGAGACATTGACAGAAGAACCAATGTCCAGCCTCAGCTGAGTAAGATTCTGCACACACTCCTTGACTTTCACATCTGGAAGAGAGGAACAATAGTGTCAACAGTACCCATCTGCTTAATTAGATTTCCCTTTTCATTCAATTTACTGTGAGCAGTGATAAAGGATGAAAACTTCATCTCATGTAATTCATTCTCACTTCAAATTCAAAGGTCACTCTCCTGGCAAACTTGTGCATCTGTTTGCATTATCCTATCACACTCCTTGACTTTCACATCTGGAAGAGAGGAACAATAGTGTCAACAGTACCCATCTGCTTAATTAGATTTCCCTTTTCATTCAATTTACTGTGAGCAGTGATAAAGGATGAAAACTTCATCTCATGTAATTCATTCTCACTTCAAATTCAAAGGTCACTCTCCTGGCAAACTTGTGCATCTGTTTGCATTATCCTATAAAAGCACAGGACTTAAGGGCTTGTGCATCTGTTTGCATTATCCTATAAAAGCACAGGGTTTATCCCTATGTTATGAAAATATCTGAAATTCGTGAAACAGCCTTTAGTCCTCTAAGATTTTTCTCCTTCCACTAATTTAAGTCCTCTCTTCTTTCTAATTAATCCCCACATTTTACTGGAGAGGCTCTGGCTGAATGAACTATGCTGTCCTGTGTCAACTCAAGCACGTGTACATGCACAAATATACAATGAAAATATAGTGCATTAAGTCAGTAGTCTCCATAAGCAGTGTCCTTTTGAAGTTTGAGGAACAAAGCACAGTTATAGTCCTACAAAATTACACAACAGTAACCATTAAAAAAAGAAAACTGGAACCCACCATTCAGGAGATTCAAATTTTGAAGAAGAGCTGCCGCTGGATTTTCAGACAACTGTAACTCCAAATTTTCAGTCACCCTGAAATGATAGCCTTAGTTTCACAAGGTATCAGAACTAAGTCATAGCAAGTTTGAAATACTCTCTAGGAGAAGTTCTATTCATTTACTTAAATTCTACTATTTTTTCTCAAGTGAATAGCAAATATCATAAATTATTTGGAGCTCAAGCCCATTGGTTTACAAGCACAATCCTGTGTTTCTGACTGTTTGAACTGCTAAACTGATCTGAATGCTTAATGTTTTGCAAAAAGCTATTGAGAGGACAAGCCATAGCAAAATGGCTTTAAAAAATTTAGATATTAAAATTTTGACCTAACTGAAGTGACAGGAAATTGAAAATCTTAGGTACAATCCAAGCATGCAGCTGATGGAGCAGTAAGATCTTCAGCAAAAATTTAAGGGCTTTTAGAAATATCCGGAATTTTTCTAAATTACTTAAATAATTTGTACATTGTATCCACCAATTTTCAGTTAAATGAACAAAGCTTAAAGAGACTGTATTTATCCTCTAAAACTTAGAACACAGACATATGCACAGAATAACACTGCTAACATTAAAGAACCATTTGGGATACTAAACTTGGAACACAGACATATGCACAGAATAATACCGCTAACATTAAAGAACCATTTGGGATACCAATATGTAAAAGGCTTTACATTTGCAGTTGTCTCTCTATGTTCCCCAACATTAGCTGACATTCACAGCTGTCACTGCTGGTACTCAGCAAGGCTCCCAGGAAGCTCTCCAAAGTATTGGAAAGTTTTTGGTTTATATATGCCATAGTCTCACAATCCCCCTTGTTGAAAGCAGGCCACAATCTTTCAACATCCTGCAAAACACAGTGATCATATGGTTAGTAAATTTGAGAGATCACAGAAGTAGCAGCTCTCAGCAACTAAATGATGCATATTTTCAAATGAGAATATGGGTAAGGTAACACTCTTACTCTTTGTATTAGTAATCAAAACTGAGCGAGATGTTTTCAAGAACTAAGGAATTCTCAAATATATGAGTTTTGGAACCAACCAAATTGGGAATTTGTACAAGCCTGTCAAGGAGATTCAAAATGCAAAGATTTTAATTTTACTTTTGCTTCAAAATTAAATTAGTTTTTCTTTCTTTTTTTAACTTTAGGCTATCTTTATCTTTTTTTTCCCCAAAATTGTTCTGAACAACATCAGATTCCATTCAATAAACCGAAACAATCTGATACCCATCCCCGAAGTTTTTCATGCATTTTTCTCCTTATAGTAGGTACTTCTATGTTTTCTCCTGCATATTCACATTTTTGATTTTGCAAGGCTTTTTAAATATTTGCAGAAATAGGTCACAGAATGGTGGTGACTACAGAAATGCATTTGGTCTGCAAAGTCTGCTTTGAGATATGTGATTCCTCTGTCATCTGTTTACTTTTAAACATTGCTGTTCATATCAGCAAAATGTCCAGGTATCAGAGCTACTTCATAAAGTGGAGGAAAATACTATAATAAAAGCATGATTTCAGTATTTTGTCTCTGTGTGCACACGTGTGCACTGTCCAAAGACCTGCTTCCAACTCTGCATGAGTCTAATTGCCAAATACTGCTCTCACCTGCTCACCATTTCATGCATTGTTAAAGAAAAGATGACCCAAACTGGTAATCACAATTGCTGTTTTAGCTGGAATGACTATTTGCTGGAAGTTTATTTGCATCTAGCTTGATTTCACAACTGTTCCTCGGAAGATTTAAAAGTATAAATGTACTCTAATTCATTAAATTAGCAGTATGACAAAATTTAGAGGAATTAAAAATGGACTGCTGTTTGATATTGATTGACAACCTAGTTATTCTAGTTATAGGACATCTAATTATTCTAGCCACGCTTACAACTTGCAAAGATCACCAATGTTTACTTAAATAATTACTTCTGGGTATCATTATCAAAAGCATCAGAGTTATACCCATATAAACCTTAGCTTTGTATAGCCACTGTGGGGACTCATCATTCAGACAGCAGGGAAAAAAGGAAACTTCCATTAGTTTCCAAAGTTTAATGCATGTTGTAAAGTCCACTTGTAGGTGTGGAAAACACACAGACCTGATAATGATCTCGAACCACAGCGATCCCTTCAATGACAGCAAGGAGCAAGTGACTTGTTAATCCATCTTTACACTCTGTAATGGCACAGAAAATGTTGCCAAAGACAACTGGTTCTTCTGTAAGAGAAAATGTTCAGGTTGAATCAGTCTTTTAAAAAATATTTTAAAAAATTCAGGAGTCAGGTTAAAAGCTAGCCAGCTCATAAGGACAGAAGAGTTTTCAAAAGCAAAGAAAGCCTGATGTGTTAAGGAACAGAGAAATATTTCTAGCTAAATTTATGTATGATTGCAGAGGGCAAGAAGGACTAGTATGATTCAATTTCCATTACACTTTCCTGATCAATTATAAGAACATCAAAACCCGATACAGAACCAGAGAAGAAAACTTCATATTTACTCTTTGTGAGCAAGAAGAATAAGTCTGAGAAGCTGTGTATATTAACCACATCTACCTCCTCCTCAGACAGGCTGCCCTGCTTCTATTTCCCTGTGGAGATACCAGGATGTTATTAACCCTCTAGTGAGCAGTAACTTTCAAACTTTAACTCCAAGGGGAGGGAAACAGCATTACATAGACATTGGCCATATGTACAAATAAGGAATCCATATAGGGGAAATTTTTCACCTGATCATCCATGGAGGCAGTTTCTACACAAACTTTCAACCCCCATACCCCTGGAAAAGATCTCCATTCCCCTTCCTGTAGTGGGTTTGTACATGTGATAGCAGAGAAGGAATCCTACTTGACTGCTGAATTCTGATTTGTAACAGGACCAAGATAATTCTTTTTCCCCATGTTCTCTTTTCCTTATGTTTGGTTCCTAAGTCAAGTAGGAAGAGCAATAACCATTCACTACTGCTTCTAAACCAAGCCAACCTTGATCTTGGTCATAGAAGTAGTACAATACAATTCAACAATGCAAACCAAGTCAAGCAATTTTCACCTTTTCTCATTAGGTTTCATAATGTTTTCTGTAACAAATGAAACATCCCTATGACAAGAGTATTGAAATAAGAATGACAAAAACTTAGTTCCTTAATATCAGTTCTCTCAATAAACAGACTGTTCTTCAAAGGTCAAAGACAGGATCCAGGTACCTGCACATATTTTCAGTATCACTTATTCTGAGCTAAACATCGCTACAATTTTGCTCTTTGAAACTACATTGGTCACGGGAGAGTGGAGAAGACATTCATAATTGGGTTGTAATCGGATATTATGCTTTCTTTGGAAATTAATTTGGCTTAAGACATGACACATCTCATCCTTTGCTCTAGAATGGCAGGTTAATGCCTCCTAATTGCTCTTTGCAAAAACTTCAGGGCACAGTTGGTTACAATATGAGGCTTGAAAAGCAGAGGCCTTGGTTTTCCAAAGAAAACATAATATGACATTACACTCTTAGGTCAATATAAAGCCTTTTTTAAAATGCACATCTTGGGGGCCTATACAGAAGGAATAAAACAAGCCTAACACATTAAAATTTGAACAAGTTGTTGAAGGTTAAGTTATTCAGCTACAGGTAACCAACTGACTGGCTTGACATGGCCAGAAGTGAGAGGTGCTGCTTCCTTTAAATATTTGCCCCATTATTCTTTACTGTCAGCTACATGCTGCCTTGTGGCAACTGCTGCTCATTAAAAAAAAAACCCTGTGATTTGACTCAGCTCACTAGCCCTGCAGAAAAATATCCAGTAAAAAAGGTTAGACAAAATCCAAATGCATAGTCTTCTGATGGGTTTGTGAGTGAAATCATAAAAAGAAGAGGTCCTGATGTGTCAAAGTAAGCCCAGGAGGAAGGGAAGAGCACGCAGCTAAAAATGATAGAAGGTGAGCAGCAGGACCTCCTGCTTCTACTGAGACTTTGAATTAACATGACCACTCCAGAAAGAAATCATCCCTTTGCATGATCCACATCAAATTTTTTCATGTGCTTCTGTTGGCTTAATTTCCAGGCATCAGCATGCTTGCCTTGCTTGGCATCACCCAAATTAACAAATGTTTGCTTAGAGTAAAGTCTTAACATTACAGTACTAACACATATGGTGATCACTATTGTGGTAACCAACCTGAAAAGATTTTGAGAACACTCAAAATGGTAAACTGCAATTTCTGCAATAGTATGACACTATCAGGGTATAAATGTTCCTGAAGAATCTTGCAGATTTCAGCTGCTCTGTAGAAGCATTAATAAGAAAACATTATTTTCATAACAAGTGTACCACAGAAAATTTTTAACAAGTGACTATATACAGTTGCAGTCTTCAATGAACCACATAAGGATTTCAATATTGACACTTATTACCTTTGTCTGACCTATTTAAAAGTCAGATTATAATATTTTCATGTTAAAAATAAATTCAAACAAAACCAACAAACCTTAGGAGTGCTAGAAAGAACCTTCAAAAAATAAGCAAAATTGTAATGGCTTCAGAAATACTGAGAGCCCACAGTATATGCTTACTTGATAGCAAAGAGCAGAATACTCAAAATCTCTGATAATCAGCATGTGGGAAAAATAAACCACCTGGTTTATGTCAGTATGACCAGTAGCTCCATCAGCAAGACATGCTAGAGTTGTTTGGAGCAACCTTCTTGTGGGCTAATTCAGTACTACTGCAGCAACTCCCATCTAGCAGCATTTTTATTAAATAAACTGGCGGTAAACATTTTCCTGAAGTAACATTTCCTCTGCTACTGGATTACATTTGATCTGCATAAACAGAAATTATCTCAGGCTCAAGATACCCTCAGAAACTGTATTTGTTAAACTGAACAACTTAACACTATAACCATAGCATGGCATTAACAAAGATGAAGAAATTTCATTTAGCTACACTTGGATATTGAAAGAATAAAAATCCCACATACCACAAAGCAATAGTCCCAAGCACTCCTTAAAAAACAATGCCTGTTACCCACCAGTAACTGCGGGTTCAGTGTTCAGACCTGCAATAATTTTAAAACACTTGTATCTTGAAATATTTGTTTCTATAATAAATCTGAAGAAAACACTTAGAGTATCAATACAGATAACTAAGCACATCAATAACCTGGAACACAGTCAATAACGTGATACCAAATATGGCTGGTCTGAACAACATAAGATGGCAAAAAATCTGAAATGAAACAGTGCACAATAAAAGTTTTGATTGAGCTGTTCACAAACAGAGAGCCCTTCTGTCATTGTCAGCACACTTATCAAAATGAGCACACAGAAAACACTTACCTCATTTCTGCCACGACATCCTTATGCAAATCCTTTAGTAATAATTTCATTTTGTTCCCATCATGTTCTGTGGTAGACTGAAATATTATTTCCAAAATCTCTTGCATGATCTCCAGAGTTCTGTTTTGGGACTGAGCAGAAGCTTCTCTATATTGTGCATTATCAAAATATGAACCAAAGAAGTCAGTAATCCAAAGCTCTGTATTATTTATATGTAAATCTTCCTCTATAACAGCAAGATCAGCAATTATATGAAGGAGACTGTTTAGTAAAACTGAATCAGCAGTATGAGTACTATTCAATTTTTCTCTGCTAAGATGACCATCACCAAACAACATATCAATGTCATTTTCCTTAGGCTTATTTTGGAATAGTTCCAGAAAGTCAATAATGTCTTTGACAACCAGCAGCATGTCATTTGACAAACTTTCATTAGACATAAGGATAATTAGAGCATGAATTATTTCAGAATAATTTCTATTGTTACACACACACAGAAAGTTCTTCACAATGTCTTGTATCTCTCCAAAATTTCTTAATTTAGCATCTTCAGATGACATCTTAAACTGCTGTATTGAAACATCAGGAGCCATTGAAGAGGGCTGTCCAGTGACTAACTTTAGCAATTGAAGTTCTTGGTCTATCACTGCAAGTAAGTCTGTAACATTAAAATTCACCAATAAATCTTCTATGCTTGTGACTACATGAAACCAGAAGTTCTCAAACTTATCAGATGTGTTGCTGTTTCCATTTAAAGCTGATATTATCATCAGCATTGAGTATGTCTGGTTTCCAACAGAAGACAGCATCATTAAAGGCCGAATTACAGAAAGAAAAGAACGAACAGCTTCTACATCCAGGAGTCCAGAAACTTCACTGGTTATACTCTTAACATTGGTAAGAACAGTTTTAAGTGATGATCTTGACTGTTTGTCCCAGCTTAGGCCGCCATAAAGATCACGCAGTTGTTCAAGAAGACCTTTGTCCTTCTCCATTTCTGCCACTGAAACACTGCCCAGTGCTTCTACAATTTGTAAAGCCATTTGGCTCTTTGGTGTGGAAGAACAATTGATTGCATATGTATTATTTGCCTGCAGTGGTACAGCATAGAGGGATAGCTCATTCCAAAAATCTAGCAGCTCTTTGAGAACTGAGCCATTCATATGATGAAGCTCAGAAAACTTCAAAAGAACAGAGTTCCATTCTTTGATCTGACGAAAAAAGCAAGTCACATTGCGAGCAACATCCATCTGAAAGTCTTCCATTAAGCATGAGAAATCATCTTCCAGAGTGATGAGTTTAAGCTCCTTAATGACTTCAATGATTGCATCGTAACTAAGAGTAGAATTGCTAAGCACGAAGTCACAAGGTTCAACAGTGGGATCAATCTGAGGTGTTGCTGTTGTGAGAGTCCAGCAAAATTCTACATAAAAACAAATGGAGACCTCTTCAGGCTCATCAGATATGTCTGCCAATATCTCCAGTAACATTAGAAGATCTTCTACTAGTTCAGAGAACTCCTCATCAGTAAACGTTGACATTTTTTCTTCCTGAGTCAGTATGAAAGCATATACTTCAGTTAGTGCTTCTGTAATGTTTCCATGAGCTAACCTTTCAGTAAGACTGATGACATCAAGGAGCAGGTCAAACACATCTTCTACATCATAGAGCTCATCTTGTTCAAAGAGTTGTGTTATTTCCCATAAGCCAGTCAGGTTCCAGTAACACGACATGTTCTCAAATGCATCCCACCAGTCTGTTAACGTTCCTAACTCAGAGTTCTCAATAGAAAAAAGTCTGATATTTTTAAAGAAATCATTTAGGTTCCTCTGGACTTGTTTGAGTTGACTTATCAATAATTCAGCATCCATGTTCCTCATGTTCTGCACCAAGGCTACCATATGTTTTAGAAACTCCTTTTCATCTCTTAATGGAAAGGCAGTAAAAGTAGGAGACTTGAAAATTTTAAGTGCCTTCCTTATCAGTTCAATATTCAGAGCTACTGTTTCTATCACTTTCTGTGGCAATGTTTTGTGTTCATTCTGCAAGTTTGAGTTTAGTTTTCTAGTCACATATTCCAAGAACTCCATCAGCAAACTGATATTTTTCTCATGCAAGAAAGATTCAGTGTCAAGGTCCAAATGAGAGGAGCTGTTTTCTTGGACTTCGAATGTTTTATTTTTCAGATGAGTCTGAATTTCTGACAAAATTTCTACTGATAAAAGCTGAATGTGGTGAAAAGGACTAAGGATCACTCTTGAAGTCCTGTTAAATCCATGGATTGATGGACTAAAATGGGTCTTATTTGATGTATACAATGAGTGCTTCATTAAATCACTGACAACCATTTGCATTTGCTCTCCAGAATTATTTAAAAGTTTAAAAATAAATTGAAGCACACTAATGTCATCTTTTAGATAAAATTCAGGGAGAATAAATTTAAAAGTTTTTGCTATAATATTGAAATAAACATTTACACAAATCACATCAGAACCAGTTTGGGAACATTCCGGGAGTATCAAATTAAAAATCAAATTAACAAAGTCCATCATGTTCACTAGCTTAGCATCTCTCTCAGTGTTTCCCAAAGATTTCAGCAGAAATAAAATATGCTTTGTGCTTTCAAGGTGGGAAGGTGACCTGTATTTTTCACTGAGATTACTTAATCCATGTATCCATCTGTTACAATCCTCTGCTTCATCCACTGTACTATAAAAGTTTAGAAAGGAATTAAGATGAGATGAAAAATTTGTTTGCAAATAGCTTATGTCTTTCAGAGTATTGGACAAAATCAGCTTGGTAATATTCTGGAAAATGCTGATACAATGCTGATATTTGTCTTGAGGTACACTCTTAAAGAAAGCAGATGTGTTATTTATCTCAGAGAGAATAGTTTCAAGTTCCTTTTGGGAGAGCTTGAGAATAGTAGAAAGGGAATTTCCAATGGAAAATACACCAGTGCCCCTATCTTCTCCCTCTGATCCTTCTAAGATGAAAGTATCTAGCCATGAATTCAAAACCTCACCATTAACAACCTTCAGTACAGATTTCTGCAATTCAGTTATCAGAACTCCCATCATTTCTAAAACACTTTCCAAACTGTTACCTTCAAGCAAGCTTGAGACATCAACTACATTGTTAAACACACTTTGAAGATTAGCAAGGAAAGCTTCAAAATCTTTCCATGCATTTAAATCACCACCTTCTTCAAATATGACTTTTAGTAGCTTCATTGATGCTCTTGTATCTTCAAGAATAGCCATAGCTGTGTTATTGCACAGTTCGTCATGAGTCACATCTAAGAGACTTTCAGAGAGATTTGCCAAATCATTTCTTAGAGAGACAAAATAGGTTGAATTCAAATTTAAGATTTTGGATGCTTCTTCAAAAATCTCTGTCCAGGTTTGAAGCCACGTGAAAGTGCAGAGCAAAGCAGAAGGCACAGTTACGTTATCTAAAATTGTTAAATTAGACAGAATAATGTCCAATGGAAGCAGAAGTAAGTTATAAACCTCTTCTGAATGTTCTACAGAAGTAACATTTGCTAGATAAAAATCAGCACACTCATTATTTCCAAGGCATTCTGGAGCGATATCAAGAAACTCTTCCAAATAACAAAAGGCAGCTGTTTGGAGCTCCTCATCAATAAATAAAGTTTTAAGGCTGCTCAGAGTGCCATAGACAACTTGCATCTCTTTTTTTCCTTTCTGTGCAAGAAACTGAGCCTGAAACTCTGTGTAGTTATAAATGAATGGTAACTTTTCACAGAGAGACTTGCTGGTGAAATTCCAGAGCAGATCAAAAGTTTCAGACAGAAAATCAAAAATTAGATCCCTATTTTGGAAATCATCCCATACTTGAAAGGATGACATATCTTTTGAGGTCTCATAAAGAAATGTTAACAGAGTGCTATTTCTTATAATATTTAAGAACAGATCATCATTCTGAGACAGAGAGAAAAGTATTGGGACAAGTGAGGTCACACTAGTACTGTTTAACTTTTGAATGTCTTTCAGGAAATCATGCACAATTTCTCCTAGTTCTTGTACCTTATACATAAAAGTTGCATTTGAGAGAAATAAAGTGGAGGCATTACTCACTCTAGGAACTGTTGAGAAAGACACATTGACATGATCATCAGTCAATGATCCAACTTCATAGAGGTTTCTTACAAAGTTTTCACTTAAATATTTTAAATGGTTCAAAGCAGTAATATTTAACTCTGGCCATTTAGTCAGGATATTTTTAAGCAACACCCTACTTCTATTATGGATTTTATTTTCTGTAATGGAAGAGATAACTCTGGATAAGGTCTCAATTACCTCCCTCTCTTCCACTTGACTCAAATGAGAAAGCCTAGAATCAAGTTCATAGAACAAAATTTCCACTATATACCAGAAAACTTCTGTCTTCTCTTCTGTCCAGAACGTCTCAAGGGGCTGGGATTTTTTTTCTAGCTTATTATGAAGTTCAGAAACTGCAAGTGAGAAATTGGCAGCAGATTCCTTCCCCTCAGCAAAATCTTTCATCCATGTAATTGCATAATTCAAGGCATTTTTAATTAGAGACTGGTTTGAAGAAGCTGAGAAGTCAAATATTATATCTTCTATGACTTTTAGAAGATTAATAAGATGATCCATTTCCTTTTCACCATAAACCCTTAAGTTTTCATCTCTCTTCAAAAACTCTTTGAAAGATGTCAAAATCCTGAAAAAATTAAGCACAAGTTTTTTTGTTCTTAGTTACCTAGCAGCAATTATAGACAAGAATTAGTTAAACATATTTTATAATTTTAGAACTTAGGTTTATATACTTAACTCAAAGAAATTACAAATATAATTTAAACAGCAGTCACAAATAGATCACCACAAAACCTGAAATAGCACAAATTGATGATTGCTTTGGTTTTCAAAAATGTGAAAGAACTTACTGAAAAGTCATAACCACATTAAAATCAAAACCTGAAAGGGGGCATCTAGGATAAAGAATTGTGCAGAGTCAAACCCCTTTAAGTACATCATATTTTCAGCTGCTGAAAAAAGGTAAAGCTTCCGTGCTTCACAGACTAATTATTTTACAGAAAGAAACGTATCAATAAAAAAGAACAAGAAAATTGATCAAAACCTCTGATTTTCAAAGAATTCTAAAGAAATTTTGTTTTGCGTAATTATTGAAGGCTAAAAATTCCATTTGACTGGCTGATAGATGAACACTGCTATTTTAATATCTCCAAAAAGATAAAACATGAAATCACAGTGAAAACTGGAATGCTCCAACTGACGCTTCCATTGTGTTGGTACTATTATCAAAAGAAAAAACATTTACTAGGTCTGTAAGATTGGTTGAGTTAGGTGCATGGAAAAAAGAGCCTTCCAACGCAAAGTTGAAAATACCTTCTTAAATATACATTCTTTTTCTCCAGATTCAGGACTCTGCAATCAAAACATTGTATACTGCAAACAATAAGAACCAAATTCCAATATGCACTACTAAATTATTGAACAACTTGACTGCAGTCTCTCTCTTATCAGTACATAATGGATTGTGTCTTTAAAACTCATTCTCATATGTTCATTTGTACAGCATGAATAATATCTCCTCCAGTGACAGTGTTTGACATGAACAAGTAGAGCTATTACAAGCAATGCCTAATTGAGACCAACATTTAAATTCCCAGAAGTAAGTCATCCAATATGCAGTTAGAACAAGGGAAGAATCAGTTCCTGATGGGGCTCTTCCAACTCCGACAAACATTAACTCCCTGCATCTACAACTTAAGTCATCTCCTGATCTTGCAGATCAGGAAGGTTTGGACAGCTTGACAAAATGTACAGAACTCACAGCCATACCTAGATATAAACTGCTTAACATTTGCATTAAGTGATAAACCAAATGGAGAACTTGAAACTGCAACAAAAGTTAAAAAATATCAAGAGAAATCTTAGCCTCAGAATACCCTAGATGAGATTGGAAACTATATGTATACAATTAATTCTATGTGTTTAAACCTCCGTTCTCCATAGCAGACTTCTGTTAAAAGATCTCCTGCACAAGTACCATGCCTTTGACTCCTACAATAAAAATCCCAAATATTTCAGATGCTCTGGGCTTGATGTACACAGGAAGCATTACTGAGTTACAGGAATTATTTGTGGGAATTAAACTTTGTTTGCAGAACAAAGTAAAGAATTCAGGTCCTAGTCCAAAATGCCCAATTATACACAGCTGCTGATTCTCATGAGTCTTGACCATGCAGTACTCAGGTCCTCTGCTGAACTTTTAAGTAGCTGTACACTGAAGCACAGACTTAATTTCTCTTTCAGAATTTGTGAGCATCAGCACATTTCTTTGACTATATATGAAGTTTTGAATTACAAAATTTAAAAAAAACAAAACTAAACACACAAAACAGACAAAACCCAGAAATTAATCAAATGCAATGTGAAAAAGAATAGTCAGGTCAATCTGAACTTTATAAGCCAAGTTGCAGAAAGAGAAGTATAACTTACCAATCATCAGTATATCCTTCCGAAAAGAACGCGTCTGATTTCTCATTCCATTGCTGGATCAGGGTATTTATCTGCAAAAAAAGTTTCTTGGCTTCCCTGTCATCTAGAAGCTGAGGCATCAAATCAGCTATGATTCTTTTAAGTTCCAAAAAGAGCTTCTGAGAGAGACTGCTGCTGCTGAGCCACTGCTTAATTACCTAGCAGATTGAATGCAAAATAGAATACTTTGTTAGAGAATCAAAGCTTTCTTATTTAGACAGTACACAGAATTTGCATGCTTTAAAAAAACCTTGACACAATTAACAATGATAGTAAAATGCCTCTGTAACAATTTGTCTAGACTCTGAAATGACTCACCTCAGAAAGGCTGATTTTCAGTACAGTTTTGACTGACCTGCAAGTTGGCAATGTAACATCCTACATCATACAGAGAGCTACCATCCTGTGTGGTGCTGTCCTTGCCCAAAGACCCAGGAGTGGTAAAGACGTGGCATGAGACTGAAACCAGCCAAGAGCAGACCTTCACAGCTAACTACTCAGGCTTCCTTTACCAGACTTCTGCCTACACTACCAACACAATGGAAGGCAGCAGCCTTAACATTTTTGGGCTTTCACCACACAATGGGATGGCAAAGGAGCCTGCATACTCCCTTTGTGTAGCCCAGAATAAGGCACACCAAGGCCTGGCCAAACCTACTGACTGCTCTCCTTTCCTCCATTATTACTTTTATTCTAATGCCAAGTGGTTGTAACAGATTTACTCTAAGAGATTCTGGTCACCAGGAAAATTCAGTGACCAGCAGTTTATAGTACTTCCAGTTGCCATCACAAGGATGTCAACCCTTGCTAAAAGTTCTTAAATCATTGCTGAAATTATTACTGGATTTTCCTACACCTACAATAGGAATTAGTGCATGAGTTTTGACAATCACATTAAATTATTATTTCAAGTCATCATACAGCAGGGAAGTCTTTATCAAAGACTACGTTTTTGAGGAAATACACAGTAAGCTCTACATGCTTTCTTTAGATGATATCGCAAACATCTCCAGAGCAGCTTGATACACAGTTCATTATTTTTGAAGGAAACCCCCCCATATTTCAGTATAAAAACAAACACTAGTGTTAAGGCAGTTGGATGCTTTCCTTAAGAAACATCTGAATGTTTTATCCTTTTCTCCATGCAACTACACACGTCATTATAGAGACTGCATGCCAAACTGTTCTACCAGATAAGAATTTCAGGATGCAATACTGGAGGTTTACTTTCATCCCGCTCCACCTGCTTCAGCCACTATTGCCAGAGATAGTGAAGGGGCGGTTCAAAATAAATTAATTACATATTATATCAGTGGGCACCTCCAGTCAGCTTTCAGTTTTGCCCAACATTCAATCTCAGATGGGCTAGTAAAAGGGTCTTCCCTCTGACAGGCTTCTGCAGTGCAGTACATTTCACTATATTGCCTATTAGATTTCAAATCTGAATTTCAGTTAGTGAGAAAATCGGATTAAGTGGGCACATGGTGATAGATAATACTTCCACTGCAATGATTTTTTGTAAGATTACTTCATCTTATTAGCAAGACGAAAAAAGTTCATGAAAATAACATTTAATAGATAATTCAGATCTTTTAACTGAGTTACTGCTGACAGCCTACATGCAAAAATTAGGAATTTGATCTATTAACTTATTAAAGTGTACCTGTGCATAGAGCTTGAGCTTGCTGACAGCATGAACAAGATACAGTTTGGCCTCATGCCATGCAGAAATACAGCCCTCTCCATTATTCTCTCTGTTTGCTTCATCTTCTGGCACACTGGACAGAGCAGAGCACACAAACTGCTCCAGTGTCTCTCCTGTGGGAATCTGGCAGGGACATAAGAAATTGATGAGTATCGCAAGAGAACTGCTGAGTGTTATCTCTCTATCAACTTACATATCTAGTGAAAAAAAAATAATCACGTAGCCTCCTTCAGTGAGAACAAAGCCCATCTGATCTGTCCCCATATTCTAGTGCATATACTTCAGAGTACCCCACATGCAGAGTGCTGTATAAAATACCAGTGGCTCCATTAAGGCACTCATACAGCAGGCAGAATGATGACACTTGTATATGCAAGGAATTTTCACCACGTAGCTACATCAGTGATGCTACTTCTACAGTAATTTGCAGGCTGATGCTGAACTAACTTGATGATGGCACAGTACAACTATAGCAAAATAACTATATTGAAGCAACTTCACAACCATAAAGCATAAAAACTACCAATATAAAAACATTTAGTACAATCTTGACCAATTATTACATGCTGCAGACTAGTTTTAAATTGAAGTTGATGGGTTTCAACAGTATGGCCAAGAGACCAGATTTTTTCCTCATAGAGTGATTTTTAAATTCTGAGATGAAAGATTTGTTATTCACAATCATATAAATACTATTAAAGCACACAATAATAATTCCACATATTGCAATTCTCCCCACTATTCTCTTTCTGAGATATTTTACATCCTAAATCCTCTCAAATTTGGCTAAAGAACTTATGAAAAGTTTTGCAGATTTTTTGATACGAAACAAAATGGGACATTAGATACAGAATTGAAATGCTTGGAACAGACTTGCCCAGGTTTACACATTTCCCCATACTTTTTGACAGCCTTCAATGCTCTAACACAAGCAAAAAATACTAAGATTTTAGCTTAAATAGGTGGTAAGTGAGTAGTCTGGGATTTCACAGTCAACGATAGCTACCAAGCTGTAGTTAAATTCCGTTCAGTTGATCAAACAGACCATTACTGATATTTCATCAAAAGGCCATTCAAAAGTCAAGATTTCTTTATAATTTATCCCTTTGTTTAAATCTGTTATTTTTACAATGAGCTCTTCTGCAATATAACTCTAAACTGTACCTGGCAAAACACAAAGAAATTTCTCAAAAATACCAACCAAACCATCACAACAGCCCACTTTTGTCTAGAAGATAGGTTAGAAAGAGATTTTCTTCTAAATTTGATGCATCACTGTTACGTTTGGTTAAGCACCACTGAGACAACTCAGTCAAGTATATTCATATCAAGATTGTACAACTGAGAAGAAAGGACTCTTATTATGCCATAATTTAAACACAGAAGAGACAGGCATCCTTTGTCCAGCAAACCAGATGAAAAATGCTACCAGTCAAGCTAATCCAGGCAGATTCAAACCAAGGATTTGGTTTAAAAGCTTAGTAGAGCTATCCTCAAAATTCTCTACAGGATTGGATAGTAAACTTGGGACTCTGCCATACTCAGTGGTGACTTGAGAAAGGCATAAATTCATTAATGTACTCAATTAGACCTATCAGCATCTTCATGTGCAGAAATGTCAGCTGAAGCTAAATATATTTCTTGTGATGGGAATGAGGCCAGAATATTTAACACTCTTGTAGCTGCTTCACAAGTCTAAAATATGACTATAGCTTCTGTAAGGCAGGAAAAACCCCATCAGGGTATAAACAAAAAACAAAGATGAAAGAGAAGGAAACTTACATTTTCAAGTGATTTACCTTTGTTAATTGTGCTGTATAACTTAGCAGCTTCTCAACATTAGGACCATCAAAACCAAACCTGGATTGAAGTTCTGCTTTCACAGCATGTGGATTCCACAAAACATCCCCAAGAGACAGATTATATTGAAAAGCTGAAAGAAAGAAAATCTTCTGCTTACGTAATTCTTTCCTTTTGTTTATGCTGTTTCTTGATGATTCATACTTGATGAGATCCAAGTACCGTATTTCCAGGGGATTTTTTAGGGAAGAGAGGTGGGGTGTGAGCAGAAGTGTGCACCTGAACACCAATTTCACTAGGATAAAATACATGCTTGCACTAGTGGTAAGGTCAGTTAATCTGATGGTATATTCCAGTAGTTGATAAGATGGTGAGATGCCTCTGAACAGTGACTGCCGCCGACCCAGCAGGGTGCCAGTCATGCAGATGTGTGTGCATGGGCTGGATATGAATCATTGCCAAGAGGGAGAACACCAGAAGAATACCAGAAGTCCCAGAGAATTCAAGTTAACCCTGTGTGCAAGGACTCCAGCACATCACCTCTGCACCACTTCAGCCTTTGTTTTGGCAGGTCAAGTGGGATTTAGACCACATGCTACTCTTAGCCTGACCTTCTATGCTGAGCAGACAGCTGCACCTAGAATCTAATTGTGTGCTGCAGTTTGCCAATGAAACTTGTTCCTGACCTTTTCTTGAGGAGTTGTCCTGGGGCCTGCCTACCTTTTCTAATTAAACTCATCTCCCATAGTGAAACAGCAGACGGAAAAATGTAGCCCTTTGGCTGAGAGTAGAATTTATGAGAAGAGAAGAATTAAGCTTAAAGTAAACCAGCCATGATTCATAACATGCATGTCCAAAGCAAGACACTATTCTTCAGCCAAATGGAAGATATTGTCCTTTGTATTCATTTAGTCTCTCCAAAATTCACCATTGAAAGACCATTCTAAACATGCTATATTAGACCAATGTGCTTTGTTTCTTAAATAATTGCAAGAGTCTGATTAAATTTAGTTACAAGTACTTAAAAAGCAGCTCAATAAAGAAATGGGTTAGCACTACAGCAATACAGTCGAGTTCTCAGACATCAGGAATTTAGCAGAAGTTCCAGAAGTTACCACTATTGCATATTCCCAGCATGCTAATGAGGAACTTCAAGGAAGACCTGAAGTAAATTTCTTACCTTCTAAACTGCTATCCTGTACTGATGCAGCAGTTAAATTCAGTGCTGTTTTCACCACTTCATAGAAACTTTGGCCCAACGGCATCATAGCTAAATCCTTCAATGATGCTAAGGTACTGAAAGTGAAAAAATAAAACAAAGCTCTCTATACACCCAAAAAAACCTGGAAGTACTTGATGGAAAGACATGACCTTCAAGTAACTGAATAATAAAATACATTTTTTACTGTTGTAAAAATGTTTTAGCAAATTAGACTTTTCATGGACAAAACACAAGTTGAGATTTTACCGTTAGTGTTTCACTCAATTTTCATTAAGGAAATGTCTCTTAAGTGGACCAATGTCCTCTTAAAAAAAAAAAAAAATGAGAGAGGGAAAAAATGAGAGCAAAAGTAAGAGCAAAATCAAAGATTCTCCCAGTTATCCCCCCAAGAAGGCAGAATCAACACAGAATATTTCTATTTTACTTCCAGTCAATCTGCAGGGGATAAAAAAAAAAAAAAAAAAAAAAGAATTTTCAAAGCAAGATAACACTTATTCTCACAAGGTTTTAAACAAAACACATTACAGAATACATTGATAAAAATATATCTATTCAATTCCTTACAAGTCCCAGTGACCTTTGCTGTGAAACAGATTTCTTAATTAATGTAGCTGTAATATACTACTTAAAGTTTATGTCAAATTTACCAGTTATTTCCTCTAGAGTAATTATTTCTTATTATACATATAAGAATCCAGTTTTCCAGAGTGGATCAGGAGTTTGCAACATATGTTAGAGGAAGCAATAATTAAAAAACAAACAAACAAAAAAAAAACAAACAAAAAAAAAACCAACCAAAAAAAAACACAAAAAGCTGAACCTAGTCACATAGCTGTGAAAAGTCTCTGTTAAGTACCTCTGAGAAACACAGCAAGCATGGTGCAGCCCAGAAAGTGGGAGATGTAAATTTAGGAACCTTTCTGCTGGTTAAATTCTGCCTTAGATAGGATCTCTAGAATGTAGGATAGTCGTGCAAAAGAAGTAAGCATTGTGTTTTGTGGTTTGCTTTCCAAGAGAAGAAAAATAGCATTAATGATTGCAAATTTGGTCATTGAAGGGCACCAAAGTCTTTAAAACAAACAAACAAAAGCAAAACCCCCAAACCCACACTTAAACATCCGAGTATCCTTGCATCACTCGTGGGTTGACCCCAGCTGGCAGCCAAGCACCTACACAGATGCTCATTCACTCCCTTCTTCCACAGAACAGGAAGAAGATAAACAGAAGGCATAAAGACTCATGGATCAACCAAAAAACAGTTTAATCAGTGAAGCAAAAGTTGTGCATGCAAGCAAAGCAACGCAAACCTAAGAATTCATTCCCTAGTTTCCATCAACAGGGAGATGCTTCCTGGGAAGCAAGTTCTCAGCATATCTAGCAGTTACATGGGAAGACACACACTGTAACCATGAACACCCTTCACTTCGCCCCCTTGTCGCTTTGTCTGTGCTATAGGCTCATGGGAGAGAAACTGCTGCTGAGATTGTATTAACAGATTCATAACTTCACCCAGCACCGCAGCCAGTGGTTACTGCTGTCTGTGCTTACTGCTGCTGAAGAAGAAAAAAAAAATGACCATAAACTTACAACCAAGTTCTTGTTTTACCTCAGGAACACTGAAATGCTGAGAGTCTCCAAACCCTCCAGAAAAAAATTCTGCTTTTGGGATACAATCTCAGCTAATATAGCTTTGCATGTTAATAGCTCAGAGAACAAGATGGAATAAGGTTACAAATGACTCAGGTATGGGGGGGGGGGGGAAAACAACAAGCCCAAAAAACATTGCTTCAATCTGCATATTGTACAAGAGACTTAATTCCCAGTTTTGAAAAAATTATGACATCAAATTCTTCGTATTTGTTATTTGTTTTTCTCTTTTAATTAGAAAAAAGACAGTGGGATGCTCAAGGGTGACAGAAACAGTGCAGTAGTTTCCCATTCATGGTCTTCGAGCTCCTGCTTTGCCATGGGGTAAGGCTGGGGAGGTTCATGGCCAATCCTCCACAGGCACCCAGGTCCAGAGTATTGTGCTAGCTTTGTAACTATGTTACTTGACTACAATGACAATTACTTATCAACCTATTACAATCAACTGCCTGCTCTGGCAACTAAATTTCTGACTTTTTCCTAGCAATTTTCTTATTTTTACTGAAACTTTCTGCAGATATTTGTCTTAGTCTATGTTTTTGATGCTAAGACTTCCTCTGAATCCAACTGTCCTTTACCTGATTCAGAATACAGTCTCTGGAGCTTCTTTCTTACTGTTTCATTTCTTGCAAGAGAACATCTAAATGCTCCTAACCTTGCTATTTTGACAGCAAGAGACTTGAGAAACAAAATTGAGTCATTTTCCCAATATTGACCAAGTGCTAATACATTTTAAGTAGACTAGAATCCAAATTATGAATTTGTTATATTCATATGTAAATATTCTATCTTGAAAGCACATTACAAAGTTCAAAGCCATATTACAAGATAGGCTAATTTCAAAGCCATATTACATGGTGGGCAAATTTCAGGCATTGCTAACGTGAAGCTACTTATAGAAGACTCCTAGGGCAACTCTGCTGTGTTTGACAGAGATGAAGACTAAAGTTATGAAGGAATCAGTGTGGGTGAAAGCTCCTACCACAGCTCTATAAAAGCAGAATCTGGTAAAGAGAAGAAAATTTTAGCCTCTTTACACTGATAAGGATGCTTACTTCATCAAGTAGCCAGTGAGAAGAACAAGAATTGCAGGTAAAATTTTAAAACAGAGCACTTTCAAGAATGTAAAAGTACTTACTTTTGAATAACTTTTAGAAACTGTGCTATGGTAGCTAATTCCTCTTCTGTATAAAATCTGTTCAATTCAAGACGAGGGAGTGAATGCAAAAGGTTCCAGAAATCTGGTTGCTTGTACAGATTTTCTGCTCTAGTAATCATTTCCTCTGCTTGATTCAAATCCATCTTTATGGATGAAAACAAAAATAAAATTACATGCAACACTTCCATTAACAGGGAAAAAAAAAAAAAAAAAAAGCAGGTGCCTGTTATTTCCCCTACCCTCCTGAATTTTAAACCATTCCAAATATTTTTCCCAAGTGAAAACATGCCTCTAGCCTTGGTAATACCATTTTGGTGGTACTTTGTACTTATAGCAGCTTTGTTTCAGATGTCTTTCTCTGCTCTGATAGAAAATGTAGCTGGGAGAAAAGCTAAGCAATCTCTTTCTGCTCAGAAGTATAACTCTCTGTGTAAGGGAAGGATTATCTCTGAGATCTCAAGCACAAGATGCTCTTTAGCCCTGAAATGAATTTCTAAATCTAGGGTATCAAGACCACAGGATGCTCCAGGACATGCCATTCTTGCCCCACAGCTCCTTGCAGGGTGAGTGGGGATCTCAAATAATAATTTATAAGAATGGCTCTTTAAAGATGAACTGACTGGGGTAAAACTACTTCTTTTATCCAACTACACAATAAGATGCCTATGTGAAACATAGGATTTATCACACTTGTTTATTATGCAGTCTTTGTTTCTCTAATGTTTCACTAGGGCTTTTTTGGAAAATGGTAACATGAGCATTGTTTATACAAAAAGATGCTTGTGCGTATGAGTTCTATTACTAATAATGACAGGGTACTATCAACTAAATATTTACTTAATGTTGAGAAATACGTTCTTTCTATTTTATATTGCATCCCTAAAATGAAATTTCATATTGATACAGCTCCTTTCAATCAAGTATCTTATATGCAATTTAAAAATCTTACTATAAAAATGCCATCTAATTTCAAGTCATAAAATGGAAATCTACATTTCATGAAGCAGCAGTTACAATCAATCAAATATGGAGAAAATGCATTTCAATAATATTTTTTAAGTGAAACCAGTGGTCTGTGAAGGGTACAAAATTGACAGTAATGGAAATCCACCACCATGTCCATTCAGCCTGTCCCTTTCTGAGAATGCAAGGGTGAAAGACTAATGCATTTGGGACAGGACAAAGACCCATTTTGCATTAACTGCCCAAGAGATTCTGGAAGGAATTATGCTACATCTTACACATCTCTACCTTGACCCCCACTTGAGTCTACTTGTCTTATTTACTGGATCACAAATCTGAATTCAAAGTAATCTATTCAAGCAAGAGCCTCATCTTTTCAATATCCCTGAAGTATTTTTTTAAGTTTTGGAGTGGGTTTTTGTTGTTGTTGTTTGGGGGAGAGGAGGATTGATAACTGGGTTTGTTTAGTTTTTAAATAACAGTAAGTGTATTATTTAGTATAACAGTTCCTTGGAAGACATTTTGTAAAATGATTCTACACAGCTACACGTGGTCTGGCAACTGCACTTTTAAATTGCTCCTAATGAATGATTACCCTTCAAATAGTTGTTGGGTTTACATACTAGCAGACTGGTTTAAATCAGTAATCTAGAAGCCACTGAACAAGACATCATTTTTTTTTCCTTCAACCACATACTTTTTTTTTAAGATAGTTTACTTAAACTTGACAGGATACAGATATCTAGCCAATATAATAAAGATTCCTCAAAAACCAGAACTATAATTTAGAAATAGACTTTAAAAATACTTACAGTAAGAAAACTGGTGATGTTATGGAGCCCTGTAAAATCAAATATTGTCCTTTACAGAGAAGCATTATTAACTTAGACGAATCAACATTATAAGCTACAGCAAGTAGTGCACAAAGGGTATTTCTATGGAAGTAAAGGCATGTGAAGTAACTACTATCCCAGACAGATAGTGATCCATGTGATTTTATGTACATCCCAATACTTTTACTATTATCACAAAAACAGTTTAAAATATATTGCTTACCATTCACTTTTCAGTGAACTGAAATCATAGCATCATCACTAGATGAATGTACAAGCCCCCAGGCAGCCAGGCATGAAAATGACCATTTCACCTAAGTCTTTCTACTTGAAAAAACTTAGCCAGAAAGGCAGGGTAGTGGTAGGTCTTAAATGCCCACCTGCCACAGCAGCAAGGCTGTGCAGTGTGGGTGGGAACAGAACAGGAGCATCAGACCTTGGTATTGCCAGTCTCACTCTTTTAGTGCCAGACTGGAGGTCACCTAAGGTCACAAGGTGTGCTCTACTGAGGTTTTCCATCCCTATACTCTTTAGTACAACAGAAAAACCTGGGGATGGAGAGCTAAATCCTTACAAATTACTTTTGAATGGATATTAGACCAAGTAACCATGTACTCTGACTATTAATCCTTACTTTTAACCTTTCCCCTCAGTGTTTTCTTAACTTTCAAGAAGTACAAGGGCAGAGTTTTAGAAAGCTTACTATTTTTTCTTATAAAATTGATGGCCACAGTGATAGTACTCATAAAAGTGGACTTTTTCAGACTAGCTAAAATTTTAGTTTGTTCATTTTATTTTTAACATAAGTGTTCTTTAGTTGGATGTTTATCACTACCTGATACACAAAGCAATTCCTTTTTTAGAATGATCACAGTTTACCTGAGAACTTTGAGTTTTCCTCCCACAGTTTTTCTAAAGCCATGGCTTTCTCTGTAGTCTCAATAAATTCCTTTGCAAGTTCTTCTATCTCTTTCATGAAGTCTAGATCAGGTCCTGTGACTTTCTCTGGACCACTCTGGGTGCCTGCAGTACTTTTTGTCAGAAATAAAAGGGACAGGTGAGGTAATTACAAACTAAAAGCAAGTAGCTGGAAAAAGTTTATATACTCACAACAATATTCTGATTTTTTAGAAACTATTATGCATTTACCCAGCTTCTATTTAGTTCAGTTCATTAGCATGCAAGTTGCAGCACTGAGTCTCAAAACCTCAGGAAAGAGGGCAATGAAAAATTGCTGAGCTAGAGCTGCTCACCTATGCCAGTAACCCAATTCTGGCAGCAGTCAAAGACAGACACATCCTAAGAAGTCTTTCATGTTTCTGAACACACTCAACCTTCCTCCCCAGGTGATGGTTCTTTGATGAGCAAGTTCAAGCCTTCCTATTGCATCTAAGGCAACCGTTTGTATTTTCAAATACATACAGCAACCTATAAAAGCAGTATCTTATTCTCACTACTGGCTTTTTTCATGATTTTAGCTTACAGCCAAACTCCTGCTACATGTTATCTCTGTTATCTCTATCACACTCAATAGCACAACTTTCTAACAATACTTTCAAATGAAATCAGAAGTCAGTCACTTAAATGCCAGAACAAAATTACTTAGACTCCTTAAGGCATCATAAGCAATGGAATAATTATATTTAGCATGTTACTAAGCAGTTGAATTCTGGTTTATAGGAAATTCAAATGATTTTAAGAGTTAAATCCTGTATAGCAAAAATATTGCTATTTTTCATTAGAAGCACAATTAACTGTCACAGAATCACAGAATGGGTCAGGTTGGAAGGGACCACAGTGGGTCCAACCTCCCTGCTCAAGCAGGGTCATCCTAGAGCACATGGCACAGAATTGCATCCAGATGGTTCTTAAATGCCTCCAGTGAGGGAGATTCCACAACCTCTCTGGGCAATCTGTTCCAGTTCACAGTCACCCAGAGAGTAAAGTTCTTCATATTCTGGTGGAACTTCCTGGGCATCCATTTCTGTCTGCTGCCTCTTGTCCCACCCCACTTACAAAAATACAATAAAGAGTTACATTCCTTCCTTGTCAAGCTTGTATGTCAACACTAGCTTTCAGCATAACTTTTACTTATTGCTACAGAACGGCCTAACGAGATCAATTCACAAAAAGTAAACTATCAGCCACCACTTTCTGATTATCTCATTTCTCTTTCTCTCCCTCCCTAATCCTCATTTGTTCAGACACCCACAAAGCTGTCTGCAACTTTAGACTAAGGGATATGAAGAAAATTTAATCTTAAAACAATCAAGTTCTTGATTGTTTCAGTACAGCTTATTTTGATCCCGGCTTGGCTGACAGCCAGTATGATTTTGGAAAACTCTTTCACCATCCTCAAACTTCAGTGGATTAAAGGCAGAATAATTCCTCACCACATTTTTTCTTCCCTTTTAAACGGAGTTTTAAAAAGCAGGTTTCTGCTTTTCAGCAGGTGGCTTTCTGGGTGACTAAAAGCTTCACTTTAGCTATTACTTTTGAAAACTACCACATAAATTCCATTACTTACACATCCACTGCCCAAAATTTCAGGAAGCTAAGAACACTGGTGTGTGGCAATGAGCAGGAACATTAACTACATCCTGAAAACTTCCTAGCACTCTGCATTTTGAGCATGAACAAGCAGCCAGCACTTGACCAGAACAACAACTGCATTTGGTTAGAACACAAATCCAGTCAGAACTTTAACAAACCAAAACTCTAGCTCAGCGTCCACAGGATTTTCAACAGGTTCTGGTTGGGTGGGTTTTTTGTGGGGGTGGGGGAGGAGGGAGGATGGTTGTGGTGCGTTTTGGTAGGGGGTTTTTATTACTTGCTGAGCTTTAACTTGACAACTCTGCTAACAATGTCACTAAAAATAATACCAAGTATTCGGCAAAGTGGAGCATAAGGGCAGTATTTCAATCCACGTTGTTTTCCTTCCAAACTAGATGCAAGCTCTACATCCTCATCTACAAATCTCCTGGTTTTAGAAGCATTGCAAACAACAACGCTCTCGGAAAAAAAAGGACACTACTCACATGGGAGCACACAGTTTGGCTCAATGTTGGCTCTAGTGCTGCTGGTGCTGCCTGGGCTCCCTACCAGCAGTACAGGGCACAGATAGGAGTGATGGAGGAGTCAGTAACTCCATCCCCTCTACCCCCATCACTGACTCTGCTGCACCTTGTATCTGCAAACCTTGGGTTGACAAAGAGCAGGGAAACAAAAACCCCCACCCTTTTGGTATCTAATTTTATGTGCTTTAGCCACCTGCTTGATACATAGCAGAAGCACACCTGCTAACACAGGCTGAATTAACAGCACACAGAGCTGGACTGTCCTTTTAGTGTCTCCAGGCTTGAGGACTAGAGAGACAAGATACCGAGTCCCACAGAGCACATGGGGTATGGGGAAATGGAACTGGGGAAGAAACACAGACTAAACATTAGAGAAAGCAGCTGGCAGTGCTTGGATTGTGGTGGCTCTGAAGGGATCCAGAGAGAAGTGCAGGGAAAAGCAAGTTGATGGTGAAACTGGAGGGGAGCTGGGAAACGGTAGGGGGGAGCTAGATATTTAGGATATGTCAGAAGAACCAAACCCCGGGCATAAGGCCCATCTATGGCAGAAGAGAAAGCAGCATGTACAATCTGTAAAGCCCAGGGAAACACCACATTCCCAAGCACAAGCCTCTCAGCAGGACAAGGGCAGCTGTTTGGATGTGCTGTTTGTGAGCTATGTGAGCTATTAGCTTTAGCTTTCTGGGGATTTCCAGGGCAGCAGCAAAGTCAGCCAGCTGCCACTCATGCCCTTCTTTTGCCATTATGGCCACAGCCCTTCCTATGGTTATTCTTGGAGCAGAGCACAACTTCCTTTGGAAGGGGAAGTGGCAACAAGCAAGGTATTGTTTATCAGGCTCACTTTTATGAAACAGATTAAAATATTACAGAGGTTTTATTTCTTAAATATCTGTGCTGAGTTTAAAAGGATTTTATATATTTTCAACTTGGTAATAGGGGACCACATTTATTACCTAACAAGCATGTTACAGCATACTACTAGTTTCTTAATTCAGTGCAAGTTACACAAAATCGCAGGGAGATGCCACCATCTTGCCAAAAAGATAAGAAACTAGACTTCAAAACCAGCTGCAGGGTCAGTCAATGCAAACAAATTTTCAGATAGTGTGCCAGCAAAAATACTTAATTGTTGTACTGCTACTCTCCCAAAGAGCCTTCAATGTGTGGTTTCTGGAGCAGAAGGTGACATTAACTAACTTGTGTGTGTGTGAAGGAAGTCAAGCAGCAGTTCCAAGGAAGTTCCTAGCAGCAGTTGCTAGGAAGGACAAAAGGAGGAAGCCAGTAATTTGTAGGAGAGGACATACATAATTAGAGGTGGGGTGTTAGGAGAAGGTGTGTGTGTTTGTGTATGTCTATATATAATTTCATTATCGTCCACGGTAACTCTTCCCATAATTGTGCATTTCCAGAAATTTCATGAGGAGAGAAGTCAAGCTAGACATATATTGATACAAGTTTTGACCCTAACCAAAACAGCAAAAAGACTCTGCATCTCTTTAAGGATGTAAAAGCAACGGGCATTTCCTAAAGTCATGACTCAGAAACTCTTAATTCTGTCCAAATTATCCAGTTACTCAGGATGACAATAAGAACTTTTCAGAGCTCATCTGAGATCTCAGCTGTGATGTGCAATGCCATTCAGACTGGTGATTTTCATAAGCCTCTCAGCAAACTCTTGTCTCAGCCTCACCCCTGTCACCACACTGAACATTTCTCTCTAAAATTGCAAAGCCCCAGCTGTGCTTGGCTTCCATTCTGCACCATCTCAGGACAGCCTGGAGGCATGACATCTCCATCAAAACCAGTACACATGCTGGACAACAGCATACTGCATGTCTCTCACAGAAAGATCTTTCCCCTCCATGGTGCGTACTATTATAACCTTCCTAAAATGCAATGGATCAAAATATATAGCAAACAAAAAAAAAAAAAAAAAAAAAGCTTTTCTTAGCTGGCTAGAAAATGGAGAAAACTCATGTTTAAATTTCCTTTTCTTTCCAGCTCTCTGATAAACTATAAGCAAGACCATGAAAATTGCTTCTGTTTTCCAGCTGCACAGCCCAAGCATACAAAAGCTGGCCCAGATCACATAGAGTTACTATTCCAGTAAGTTGCTGCAGGCATACAGGTATCTTGCAGAATTTTTTCTTTTCTCATTTGAAGATACACATCATTAAGAAAAAATCTGACCCTTTAAGCAACTCTTATGCAAATATTATTACTGATGCTTAGACCTTCCTTGATTTTGTTTTTCCACACCTGCTGTTGTAGATGAGCTCTTCTGACACTACTCCACTAAAGAACTGCAGAGGTCTAGGTATTGATAAAGCAAAAGTTTTAGACCAGTAAGAGGAAAGGGACTGGTGTGCACAGGGAGGGCCAAGCTAGGAGCTGAGGCAACCCTGAGGAGTCCGTGCCCTCACTAACGGTGCACTGTCCCCCAGGACCCTAGCCAGCAGGCAGACCCAGGGGTGTGTTACAAGTTCCAGAGACAGCCCCAACATGACAGGATGCCCTCAGGAGCCCAGTCAGGTGCAAAAGGACACAGAGCTACCACATGTGTATGAGTGACCCATCATTCAGCAGAAGTGCGAGAGAGTGATCTGGGGACTCCACCACACCTACTGGGTCAGGCTGCTCAGGCTGCTACTACTTGTAGCTAAATAAAAGTAAACAAATGTGCTTTAAGATAACATTTTACAGTCCTGTTTTCACGATCTTTATAGTTCTGAGAAAACATTACCTTAATTTCTTCTAGGTATTGAGAAGTCTAACAAATGTAGATCTAGGAGTCTGAGCTGCAAAGGACAAATCACACCATGATCTGCAAGATTTGCAGCGGGATTCAGAGTACTGGGAAGACATGTTTCTATGCATTGCATGGGAATGTTTTTGGGTGTGGGTGTAAGGCCATAGGATCCTGTGCTACATGGTTTTTATCTTATTTGCATGCTCTCCCACTAATATGAAGTGGGGCATGGAACATTCTGGAAAGCACAGGGAAAAATGTCCTTACTTCCTTACTCCTCTGCTCTCAGACACCACTGGTTGTGTGAGACTAGGGAATCACATCAGTGAGCTATCAGCCAGCAGCTTTTTCATTGCCTAAAGAGAGGAGCAAGGAGCAAAGCCATGGACCTCTTGAAAACTAGATGCTTTTCAAGGCATCAGAGGAGGTGGCAGAACTTGCTACAAATCAAAGTTAGTGAGGTAGTTGTAGCTGTCACCTAGCTAATCTTCTCACCACAGGATAGGCTGTTGCCTGAAGGGACAGAGCCACATCTGTGAGAGAATGGTCTGCACCAGGATGGCTTCACCCCTGGCACAGCCCCTGCCATGGAGAGCCCTGCTCAGGCTGCTCAGTGACGAATAGTTTGGGTGGTTTATGGCTTCCATGGAGGTTCCAACAGTAGTAACAGAACTAGTCTTTCGCAAAGACAACTACTACATTTCAAAATGATAGGATCAATGTAGTACACACTGTGAAAACAAATGGGTTAAGTGTCCATACAAACTATGCACAGTCTTTGATTTACCCTTAATAAACACAATGTTGTTGATGCATATATGTCCCTATACCAAACTCCTGGTTTGATATAACTCCTCAAAGGGAAGATAATTGATGTTACTGTTCCTATGCCACCCCATCTCTCCAGTCAACAGGGACTTTGTAGGATTCACTTATGTCTGGCTGATCAAGCTGACAGGCTGTATTCCTAAGGCTGTTGGCAGCCAGCATAAGTCAGAGGAGCCCTGAGGTTGATTTAATTTATACTGATGGACCTGGTGGAACAGACTGACCTCAGAATGAACTTCATCCTACCTTTTTAGCCTTTTCCTTTACCTAGATTACTTGCTGAGCAAATACATATGGATACATGCATGCATTTTGTTTTCCAGTTGAAAAATTGAAAGCTACTGAATAATTTCACTGATCCTTAAGTAGGTCTAAGACTGCCTCCAGGAAATTTGTTCCTGATTTTCTTTAGAGCTGAAATATAATTTGGGTAGTTCAGTCAAAGCAGTGTAAATAATCATGCAGAGCAGTCAATATAATTTATAGTTTCTAGAGGTTTAACACACTTAGATGGCATCTGGACTAGGGATGTAAATAAAAACTATCTTTTTAGGCAACAATGTTTTAAAAGGCCAACAGCTACTGCAAAATCCAGTAATACAGTATTGCCACTGCAAGTAACAGGCTACAGACTTCATACTGAGTTTGCACGACCACAGCACAGAGGCTTGCCACCTTTGCTTTGCCTGAATTTGTCTTAATAAGTCTGCAGTTTTGTTTTGAACTTAGGTTAGTTTTACCCTTTTTTTTTCCTTTCTGGCCAGAGGACTACAGCTGTTTGCTTTACTTTCACTTGTCATTGTATAATGCCACCATAGTTTTATACAGATAGAAGTAGAGAGGGATCATTCAGTGCAAAATGATATATTTATGATTATAGTAGTAGAAGCCTTGAGAAGTGAAGACACAGGATGCACTGTATTGGAGTATAAGTCTAGGATAAGAGATGGGGCACAGGCTGGCACCAAGGACCCCATGGCTATGAACAACTCACCAGTGCTCAGTTAAAATGCAGAACCTATAGCTGGACAAAGTCAATTTATAAGTATTAAGAAAAAATAACAGGTAGCTAACATATGTAAAAACATTCAGGTGTACCACAAATTCAGGTGTATCATGGGGACGCAGACCAATGGAGAAGAAGCAAGGTATAAAGGCACATAAGTGATCCCAAGTGCACACCCTGGTGTGACAAAGAAGCCATCAATGCCACATTCCACCAGGTAACAGGCTCGGAATCATGACTTGCCATAACACCACCACCACCGGACTGCAGCCACTGAAATTATGGCCCAGAGCAGCACCGGAAAGGTGAGCATAACCACAGGGAAAGGACTAGAAACTAGGTGGTTATGTAACAATTTTAACTCTACTTTTATTAGGATATTTTTTGTAAGGGATATTACTGTAATACTGGTATTTCTGTCTGTATGTATTTTGTGTATTAATACATCTTGTCTAATACTGATTTGTGGCTTAAACTGTTAAGGTTTCAATTCTACTAACAAATTATTGCTTTATGTAGAAGGTTTTTGTCTATAAACAAGACTTACTTTGCATGGTCTCATGCTCAATCAACAGTTCTTTACATGTACACATAACTAGAACAGACCATCTAGATCAAAAGTATTATGGTCAATTACCATGATACTGAAGCTTTCCAACTTGTTGCATGGTGAATTTATTGCTACCTACAAACCACTACAATTATAAACCATAAATATTTGATGCCCTGACATGCTTACCTGGCTCAGACTTTAAGGTCTTTTGGTAGATACTCTCAATTTTCTAAGAACAAACATACATATATAAGCACATGTATTCTGATTAGCTGACCCTAATTTGACTTTACTGTCATGTATTTTGAAAGGCTGTTTGTGCCTATACTCTTCAGCCAATGTGCCTAAATGTCTTTGTATCTTAATGCTTTTCAACATCTTTTTGAAGTAGATAAAATTACTACATTTCTTAAAGAAAATTTTCAAATTCAAATTAATCTTTTTTTTTCTTTCTGCATTCTGGGATTCTGTGACAAGGATAACCTTTTTCAAGTTCTTTTTTATTACATAACTTCTGCTATTCCTTCTTGACTCTTTGTGGGTATTACTTAAAAGTTATCCTCATTTTGCTTTTCTGCATTCACTTCTCCCACCATGCATGCTCCCAAATGATTCAAATAGTTTAAATCCACATATGGTATACTTCTGGTGCTCATTTCATTCTCATGTAATGAAATACTTCCTTGTGAAGGATAAAAGTATGCTCTCACATGGCAGCAGTGAAGGCCAAGAATATGACAAGGTACCTCTACAATTTTACCCCAATGTTCAGTATCCAATAACAGTGTGAAATGCCCAAGAAAAAAACAGACAAAAATTAGAAAGAGGCATGACTAAGGCTTTACTTGCATTCATAGGGACACTGAAGGAAACTTTTGGCAGAGAGTAACAATGCTCTTACTCTCCCTGTCTACAAGGCAGTAAGAACCTTTTCTGTAGAAGAAGATGCACTGTGATACTGACAGCTCTGTCAAATTTGTGTAACTTACCGAAAGTGTTTGTTTTTCTGTGTTGTGTAACTAGTATTCTTGCATCTGGAACCAACATTACAGAAGAGGGTCCTCATGAAAGGATAAAGCCCCCGACTTGGTAAATCGCGAGCTTCTAAGTAACCTAAAACCAAGCAGTGGCAGAATTAAGACCTGTGACAGTGCAGTTGCAAACTGTACCAGCACATTGTGTTCCCCTCTCCTGAACAGCATCTTTGTCACCTGCAAGCAATGAAATTGTATCGGTGGCAGGTGTCCCACTTCAGAACAACTTAGTCACCACAGAAAATGAGTAACCTCTGTGTTGGACTGTGACAACTGGGTATATATGACATTTGAGAGCAGTCTTAGAAAGGCTGATTTTCCTGTTAGTAACACTATTGCAATATCATATGCTTGCTAGCTTCTCTGGCAAAAATCATGTGTGACCTGGATTAAAATATAGACTACTTCACAAAATAGTATTTCCTCTTTTCTCATGGGCTTTCAGAAGATGAAGGAATTTGTATTCAGCAATGCCTAATCATACATCCATAAAGACTGTATAAAGAACAACTTTTCCATCTCTCTGGAATTATCCATATCTCTCCATAAAGTAAATTAATATAGCGCAGGCTAGAGTCTCTCAAGCTATTTCACTCTACAGATCTTGAATTGTTTTACCAAAATGATTTTTAATGTAGCTAAACTGGTTTCTCCCCATTTTACTGATACTGGTGAATAACAAAAAAATAAACTGCATAGATTATAATATCATAAGTAATTTCTTTCCAAATTAAGTTAATGTTTGACAAGATAAAAGCAAAAAGAACTTTAAGATGGAGGTATTCATAACCTGAAGTGTTAATGGAAATGGAAGAATTTATTATTTACAAAATTTTAACTCTAAATTCCAGGAAGTGGGTAGGGTTAAGATTCATCTTGTCTAATTGTTAATATCTACTTCAATAATTACCTGCCTCTGAATCAGTCATCTAAACTCCATTATTCAACCCAAGTAATCCACCCTACTCCAAAGTCAACATCTAAACTGGTCTGACACATCAGACCTTAAACTTTGTATCTCTCTCCCACCTAAATACATCTTGCTCAGACACATATCTAGACAAGATTGAATCCCGCTGTAGGACTCTTTGCATTGACTCCACTACACTTAAGTCCCCCCTTCTAGGATATTTTTAGTACTTCCTAAATACTTCTACAAGCCTTGGCAACCAAAATAGAACACAGGTGAAATAAAACATACAGTTTTCCTTGTATTTTGGGGGCTCCTGGAAGCGGATTGCAGCTAGAATCAAGAAAAGCACGCATGGCCACAGTATTTCAGTGAGAGACAGGACCTGAAAAGGGAAATCAAAACATCATCAGCCTATAGAAAATAAGATTTAGGAACAAATTATTAAATTCATATATCTTTTAATTAAAAAAAAACAAACAAAAACATTAAATATCCCCTCTACAACTACTTAAGGAAAAATAAGATCATTAAAAGCAAATTAACAACTGTTACTTCTATTTAAAATCCTTATAACTTTGTGAAATACACTGCTTTCAGAACAGAAAAGTGGTTTTCCTTTCTATTTGTAGTGTTTATAGATACTTTCCTCTGGTCAACACAGTGACTCTTAAAACTTGATGATGGTGACATTCAGCTTTCCTGTACCTGAGCCTCCTAAGAAGCCATCAGTATTCTGCACCTTGATGCAGCTACTCCTGGTCCCCTGAACCCTGCCTGGTAGTGTACCTCCCTGTCCTTCCCTGGCTCTCTGGCTGCTCCCATTACACCCCTTCTATCACCTGCAGTCACTGTTCTCCAAAAGCCTCCTGCATCACTTCCAGCATCACCTCCAACAGAACCTCCAGTAGTGGGAAGACCAAGTCAGACCAAACTAACTGGCCTGAGGCTGCCCACCACAACACATCTATTCCAGTATTCCCATCTCCAAGGCCACAATGACAAGACACTCAAGCCTGTGCACTGCAGGACTCACAGATTTTAAGCTTGTCTCTTCTGAGCTGATTGCACATACACAGTGTGTGCTTGCACCTCTGCAGAGAGGAAACAAACCCAAACAAAACCAATTGTCTCAATTTTCAACAGCAGAAAGGAAGAAACTGCATTCAGTCAAGTTTCAAAATACTTCTAGATTCCCTGATAACAGTGCTGGGAAAGTGTGAATAGGGAACTGAGTCACAGAAACACAGTAGAAATGCTACAAGTCCATGCTGAAGATGTCCCATTAGAGGCTGTTCATTTCTCTGAAGTATACTGGGGATTTTTATTTCTAAACTCTAAACTCAGAGTTGAACTAAATCCCACCACAGAAGTGATTCCTAAGCTTGGGCATGTCAGAAATATGCCTAGAAATGGTAACATAATGCTTAAGAGCAAACTCCAATGGCAGAGTTTCCCCTGCGGAGAAAGCCTGCTATGCTGAACATGAGGCAAGGAACTAAAGGCTTCCTGAAATTTAGAGAAATCATCATTCATCTAAACCAATCACACCCAAAACCACATAGGAGCCAACCAAAGACAAGAAAGGCTGGTGCTTTCAAATTTTTAGGGATCAGAAAGAGTCAGCTGTGGAAAGCTGCAGAAGAGACTTGGTGGGAATGTCACCAGACTGCCTATAAGGGTCTGGAAAGGGTCCAGGCTGCCCCTGGAGACACGTACCATCACCCCCAGCCAATTCTGGGGGAAGGTCCCACTGGAAGCTCAGACAGGGCATCAGGGCAGTGGGAGACCAGAACTTGGGGGAATTGAGAGGGGAAGGCCCTGGACAGCTGCAGACAGGGCTCCCTGGTGCTCCCCTCAGGGCTTGGGACAACCCCAGCTGGCAGCCAGGGCACAACACCAGCCAGCTGCTCCCTGAAGGGCAGAGAGCCAGAAGGGATGCCAGGACAGCAGGGTCCTTGTCAGGCAGGACCTGCCCTGCAGTGCCCCAGCAAGGCAACAGGCTCCCCTGGGAGATCTCCAGATGAGTCAGACCTAAGGCTGAGCCAGGAATCCTACCTGCAGTGAGAGCAGTCAAAATCAGGTACAGCTCTCCCATCCCTGGCAGAGCCTATGGGAGGAGGCTGCTGAAAGCCCTGACTGAGGTTAAACAGGGGCAGAGACACCAGGTGTGTGGGTGGAGGTCCAAGAAGAGGCTGCTCAGGGCTATTAAAACCTCTTAGTGTCCTTAGGGCCCCAACACCTGTGAGCAGAGCTGTGGGTTTATTGATGTACTCACTTCATAATGACCTCTAGATAGGACAGAGCTATTTGTCATCTACCCTTCTTTGCTCCTACATGTTTTTCTTATAAGTTGGAGAAGCCACTTGGGATTCTTCTCTGGGCAACTCTTGGTCTAACCAAAGTCTTCTGATTTCAAGCCCACTGTTCTGTTCTCTTTCTTATCTCTGTTTTCTTTCTGCACTGGACTTTTAACAGCTGCTTCACCCTTTGCAATCAGATCAAGCATAAATAAAGAAATTGAAAATGTGCTTTCAAATAGCTTCCAAATCCATTGCACAATATCTAGAATCATATTTGTGAGCCAGGCACTGAAATAACTGTGTCAGATTTTTGCTCATTCAGTACAACAATGAGGATTAAATGCAGTCAAGTAAATAAAACCACAGTGAGGAGCCACCACAGCTAATTTCAGGTAGCTCTACTCTGAAAGCCCAGGACTGGACTCATGGCCAAAGGAAGTCACTGGTTGTCACCTACTAAATAAAAACACTGGATGTTCCTGGTTATATTTAACAAGGACTCATGATGTGGGAAGAAAGGAATAGTTTTACCCACTGGCTGTGCCACCAGTATCCAAAATGTTAGTAGAAAAAGCCAGTCTTACTGTAGAGCTAAAACTTTGAGTGGATTTTTTCCTATACATTGCTACATACTTCAGATGCAGTCAAGTAAGTTAATTTATTTTGCTAGACTTTAATTAATTGGCTATGGCCTGTTCCTGGACATTTTTGTCTGCAATTTCATTTTGAAAATATTTTGATCTTTAAGAGTTTGACCCACTGAAAGGTGCTGCTGGATTATTAGATAGTATGTAGAAAGCAAAACAGAGAAAGAGAGAGAAAAAAACATTTATAGGTATAACTGAATGTCATCTGGCTAGAAATACAAGAGAATACTCTGGGACTCAAAACATCACAGAGGCTATAACATAGTAGGGCATGCCAGGTACAGAACAGCTTTATAATTCTCATCTGGTTTAAGCTCTTCCAAAACTAATTTGTCAGAATATCCAAAAATCTAGCATGCATCAAAAGGCTATTATTCCAAATCTGGGACAAATGAGCCAAAGATTCTTAACATATGGAAATCCAACAGCAACATTGTTTAAATTGGACATTTTATTATTTTTGCACAAACCTAGGAATCAAAATGAACATGACACAATGCCACTAACTTTGGCAATGGGGGAGAAAGGCACCTAAAGAAACTATAAGAGCTGTAAACAGTTGCTACTCATTCTGGGTTGCATTCTCCTTGGTTGTTGCCACTCATCAGAGAAACTTCATTGCACTTGAAGAACAGAGTAAATAAAGTAAATTTTGGTGAATCTATAAAATTCAAGATTTAATAAATATATAAATATACATTTTATATAC